TAGTGAGCATGAATCTATGAGCGGGTACACAGGCCCCTCTCATAGTGAACATGAGTCTATGAGCGAGTATGCAGGCAGACCACACACACAATCCTCTCATAGTGAACATGAATCTATGAGCGGGCACGCAGGCAGACACGCAAGCCCAGCAGGTACAGGAAAGCAAACAGACCACACCCGTGGACATAAACAGGTCTGACAGAGGATCATTCTGCATATGCATTTGCATGTGTTGCAAATACGAGTATATCCATGAAGCGATAACAGGAGGGTCAAGTATGCAAACTTCTGAGTTATGGTCATTGGGTTTGGGGGCTTACGACCACAGTCCTGGGGGCATGTGGATCAACACAACAGTTTACAAAGACTATTTTCTATATTCTACCATGGTGACTAGCTCTGGAAACTTAAAAGCTACCAAGTGGCCAACTCGGTCTCTCCTCACCTGGAGTAAAAGGTGAAGAAAATCAAAGACTGAAGGAAACAATTAGTCCAAAGGACAAATGGACCACTCGAACCACAGCCTCCATCCACTACCTGGAGACCAGAAGAACTAGTCAGTGCCTGACCATACTACCTGCAACTCCGATCAGCACCACAGAAGGTCTTAGACAGAATGGGAGAAAAATGTAGAACAAAATTCAAAATTATAAAAATGACTGGTAGAACTCTGAAATTAATACTCTTAGACAGCTTTCAAACCCGGAATTGAACCCACCTCCGGGAATCACCTTTCAGCCAACAACAGACAGACCTATAAGGTGAACAGTAACACTCCTGAAGAATTAACTCCTCAGAATAATTAACCATATGTAACCAAAAGAGCAGCACTGACCCCAGAAAGAGGCAGGAAAGAAGAACAGACAGACAGCGGGAACCAGGAAGGAAGTGGCTAAAACTCAGGCTGCATGGTGTCCAGTTTCTACTGAAGCCCAGTAACAAGCCAAAGCTACTTCGCAAGAGTATAGTTACCTACACAGAGTGGCCGAGCTTTGCTCCCCCGTACTAGGGATCTGCGCTCTGATTCACCAGTACGAGCCTGCCAAACCTTCCAGACAGCGTCCCCGACTCCTGGAGTGCCTCCCACGGCAGCCTGGGTGTGCTGTCGAACTTGGTCTTGTTCTGGGTCTATACTACTCACACCAGCAGCTTTTTTGAATCAGTTGATCAATAGGTCAGAAGAGAAAGCTAAATGAAGGATATATGATCTATTAGTGGCGATATTTTAAGTATTTTTATTGCCATCTCATGCTATTGATGAGCAGTCCCTCTTCACTACTGAAGGCAGAGTTATCAGTGCCTTGAAGATTAGCCAGACTTGAGAACTAATTAAAAAAACTCATTCCTACAATTTTGCTTCTCTAGAAACATCTCACAGTACCAACTGCCTTAGACTAGTTCTCGAGGTATAAAACCAGTGAAATGTATGTACAGACATATATCAAGGTGTGTGCATATGTAAATATAAATACAGAGATTTATTTCAGGGAAATGGCTCACACAATCACAGAGGTCAGCAAGTTCCAAATCCACACGTCAGTCATCAAGCTGGAGGCTTTTTCTGACTCATGCAGTTGCCCTCAAATTGGCAAGTCAGAAGGCGGGCCGCTGGTTCACATCCCAAGAACCAGAGATCAGAAGATGATGATTCAGGTGGAGGATCAAGATTTGACAAACTATACATATATTTTGGATGTTGGCAAGATCCATAAGGATCTACTTTAAACTTCTAATATACCGGATATACTCGAGTATAAGCCAACCCGATTAGCCCAATTTTACCACAAAAACTGCATTAAAAATGTGCTGAAAAGCTCGGCTTATACACGAGTATATACGGTAACTGGCTGCTCATATCAGATCAAGAAAATGGAGGGTGATTACATAATAACTGACAAACCACTGAGAATCAAGACCTAGCCAAGCTGTCACTTAACCTCAGCCATCACAGCAGTGACCAGTCCAGTGGTGTGGTCAGTTTATGGTCATAGTGATGATTCATACTTGCCCTTGACAGTCTGTGGCTATGTTTACTTAATGGCAGAGTCTCATTTGTTGACATGTAAATTTTGAAATGTGCTTACTTTAAGAATGGAATTATCTTGTCTTGTATTTTTGGTATCATAGCCTTCCAGTAGACAGCGACGTGTGGTGTTTCCTGATCCAGCAAACTCTGCCAGGTTTAAATCTGCAAAGCCCAGCTATGAAAAGAAAGAGAATTATATTAATAGAATATCTACTAGGCTTCTATCACATTCTCCTTAAAATAAACATCAAACCTGTGCTCTAGTGCAGCCTTCTCAGAATTCTGTCACTTGCCAATTGTAACAGTACTTGCTTTAACAGTGGCCTTTAAACTGCTTTGAGTAACACTTTATTAACCTATTCTACTCTTAAAGAAACAGGATCTTTAAAATTACAGACTCTATGCGTTAAATCTATTTCTCTATACACATTAAAAACAAAGCGATTAAAATAAAAACGACACGTATGTCTTAATTTTTTTTAAAAAGCTCCAAATGATTTTGGTGACAGCGGTACTCAACACCCTTGAAGATATACCAGCAAACCAATCAGATGACAACTTGCATGCAGATAGAGAAGGCGAATCAGACTCTCCTCTCCCTCTTCTGGTTTTTGCCACACTAACCACTGGTCACTGCAGAGAGCTGTAGGTTATAATGTTCCCTTTCTCTACAGCCCAAGAACATCACCACTGAGGGGAATCACACACTTTCCTTGGAAGAAGCCTCTTCCTGTCCCCAACCTTCCATGTTTGCCATGGTGATTACCTCTGAAGCGAATCCTTCTTTAGTGAATCTCCTTTCTTCCTTTCCCATATCGTTGTCCCATGCCAACCCTTTCTGCTGCTGCCCGGAAGTTCAGTCCAAACCTGTTCCTCCCCCTTATTCCCATTTGGGTTTGGTCCCAATCTTCTGCAACTACCAAGTACTCCCCACGGTCCCTCCTCTGATGTTGCTCAATCCTGTCCTCATGTGAAGTGGTAAAACAAATCAACCCCATGAGATCGTTCTCTTTCTACATGACTACAGTCTTTTACTAAAAGGAGAAATATATTGCATGTGCAGTTAAGTAAGCACATCCCCGAGTATATAATAAAATACACAGTAAATTCCAACGACTGCTATGATTCTAAGTCACCTGGTTTAAGGTCTTAAAGCACACCGTGGGCACATACAAATGAAGATTTTAATGGCAGGTTGGAGTATTATTTAAATAACCTTTAGTCGGTCGTAAAGAATAAGCACTTAAGAGTTTAGTTGTAGTGTCCTGAGTCCTGTATGCAATAAGCCAGGCACCTATCCAGTCACAGGTCACATCTCTGAAGCATCTACATCTGGTAACTCTGCTCTCCTGCCTGTCTTCAGAGTCCAGAATCAGCCGACAGAAGAAAACACTGCACGTGTCCGGGACGAAACCACATCCAGTGAGCGTGTGCGACTTACACATCACTTAGACCACACATCATGAACAACGCCTGCTGCGCATCATCTCTCTTTGAAACTCCAACAACTTCCTTTCCCATCCTCGCGCTTGGCTGATGACCCATTTCATTCAGAAAACTAGAACAATCCAAAGAAGACTTGCACAAGCTCCCATTGCCATATCCACTCACTCACGGCCCACAAGCCTCCATCCCACGTATGTGCCTTCCCACTGACAGTATGACAACACACTGGCTGTGCTCCTACCTGAGGTCACCTGCTCTCCTTCACTAGCACCAGCCATTCTTCCTTCTTTTTTTCAACTTTTCATTGTTAATTGAGTAAAGGTTTTCAGGGCAGATCAGTTTTCCAATCAGGGGTTCATACAGACTTTGCTTCAACACACCGATGCAAGTCCCTCCTCATCCCTCTTTCTACCCCTTCCTCTTTTCTAACCTCCTGAGCTTAGTTCTTGGGTAAATGCTGCCCACCCCTTGCTCTCCAGTGGTTGATTATTTCAGGCGTGCATCCCTCATTGGTGTTATTATTCCCCCGTACAGACCTATTGTTCGGCTGAAAATTGAACTATGGAGGTGAGTTCAATCCTGGCCTTTGAAAGGTGAACGGGTTTCAGGCGTCTCTATCCCACCAGTCATCCTGGTCTCTTTTATGATCTGGAGTTCTGTTCCACATTTTCTCCCATTCCATATAGGGCCGTCTAATGTGACCCCTTTCAGATGGTGGATACTGGGAGCTAGGCACTATGGAGTTCTTATGGTCTTGGGATCCTAAAGACTGATGCTCACATTGTCATTAGTCCATGGGCGAAGTATCTTCATGTGCCTTCAATTTTCGTAACTTTTTAAAAAAAATCATTTTAGTAGGGGCTCACACAACTCCCATCACAATCCATACATACATCAGCCGTGCAAAGCACACCTGCACATTCACTGCCCCCATCTTCAAAAGCATCTGAAGTTCTCCCGTTACTGGATTAATTTCCATCAGTACGCAAGCATGCTGGGTTTTCTCCATCTTACCAAACAAAAGAAAGTAACACCTTTCCGACACAACACAAACGCGTGTTATAAATCCTAGCCTCGATACCTGTGGCTAGAATCCCATTTTGGAATGACTTTTGTTGCACCAATGTAGTTGTGTTAGTGTAAAAAACTCACAAGCGAACCCACTATGAGTCAATTCTGACTCATAGGGCATGTCTGAAATCAACTTCTTTTGAGAAATGAAAGAACAGAGTTAGGGGAAGATGGTTGCCACGCCACACGAAGCTAGCCAGGGAGTAGATGCTGAAGGGAAACATGGATCTTCCCTCTTCCAGAGGTGACAGGCAGAGAAAGCCAGTGCCCTAAACTCAGACTTCTGGAAAGAGCTGTGAGAAAATACATTTCTGTTTGTTAGAGCCACCACTTGTAATTCTGTTATAGAGGCTTTATCAAGAACTAACCCACATACTTTATTATCCTACAACTCCCTCCTGGCTGCTGTTTCTGAACTCCTCTTTACAGCCAAGCGCCTTGAAACAGTTGTTTTTTCCGTCTCCAAATCCCGTTTTCTGTCTGCCTGGCCAACTTCCCTTCCCTTGACTCTGCACCTTACTTCCTCTGCTAGCCACAACGCCGTATTTCTAAAAGGGCCAAGTTCACCTCAAAGCCTTTAACAGTCCACTGTCTTGGGTCTTGTAGCTTCCTCTCACTTCATTCAGGTCTCTGCTGAAATGTCGTCTCTCCAAAGGAGCCTTCTCAGACCTCACTGAGGTGCCCCATCTCCCCACTCTTCTCCTTTGCCGACTGTCACCCTCTGTCCCCTTCCTTGCTGCATATTCCTCCTTAGTAGTTTTCACCGCATCACACCGCATCACGTGCATATTTCTCTCGCTTAGTTTCTGCTGGTCCCTGCCCGTGACAGTTGTCTGTCCCGTTCCCTGCTGCACGGCCAGCACTCAGAACAGTGACAGGAGCATGCTGGCAAGCAATGAATACCTATTTGCTAAATAAAAACCAACTACTCCTGGAACGCCGATGTTAGTGTCACTAAGCATAGTACGAAAAGAAGAGAAAATACCTATTTGGTCTTGGTTAAGGAAGCCTATCAAAAGGTGGGGCACTTCATGGAATGCTTTGGCCCAAACTTCACCAAAGCACACATTCAACATTTGCACCAGTTCAACACTGCCAGCAGATTTGAGCAGGGCAAGCAAGGGCTCTGCCTCCAAGGAGCTGACAGTCTGTAACGGCACCACAGAAGGTAGCTGGAGTGTTGTCTTAACTAATGCTCTCTAGTTTACCTCTCCGGGTTCTAATTTCCATTGCAATGGGTACACAGTCCTTACAAACTTAATGATTAAAGGCTGGGTTTTGTTGTTGTTGTTCTTTTAAATTATGAATTACTGTTAACAGTTGTAATGCCAGTGAGAAATGCTCAGGTTTGAGTTGTTTATCAGGACCTGGTACAAAGTTCTTTCAGGTCTGCTAATAAATTCCCCAACGGGCGTACCACTCCACTGGAAGCCTCAATGTGGAGGCATTCAAGTCAAGCTCTGTGGGTCCGCAAACCCAGCTCCCTGAATTAAGGGCCCAGAGGCACCCCACTCCTGCAAGCTTCACGGAAGGCACTCAGCTCATTTCCATGGGCCAGCAAGCCCAATTTCCCTAGCTAAATGCCCAGAGGGACCCCATTCCACAAGCCAGCTTCCTGCCCCAAAGCAGTCAGCTTTACTTGCTCCGTGGGTTGGGGAATCCATCACTCTGTTCCATGCGCTGGCCCCTGCGCCCCGCAGCTGCTCCTCTGATGCTAACTGTCTTCTGGATCCAGGAAGGACTCACTCCATCCCGGCTCTCGCTCGTAATGAGAGCCTGCCCCCTGTGTCTCAGAAGGCTCAGTGTATACACAGCTGGACGGCACTGCAGGGAATTCTGTTCATGACTCACAGGTGAATTCCCTCAGTATCTTCCCCACCTTCTTACCAGACCCACGCAGGGTAAGGTTGTTTGGTGCAAGTTGTAGACACCACGTTAACTTCCCCACAACTGCTTCTGAAACAAGGAGGGTTCAGATGTTTGTGGAAAAATGGAATGACACGAGAATGGCCTTTTCCCATGAACTTTTGAAGGCCCCTGTACTTGACCTGTGCGGTCTGTATTACTTTATTCAGCACATCCTTTTCAACATCTGCATTCTAGGTAATGTTAAGCACAGGAAGCACAGAAACGAAATACACCTTCTACTCTCAAGGTGCTTGCTGCTTCGTAGGGGAATTTAGAAAAGAACGCAGCTTTCTGTCATGCAGAGGGATGGGAACTGTGGCAGTGGAAGGCACAATTACAAGGGAGAGGACAAGAAAATTTCGGAGTAGGGAAGGATGACTCAGCTGAGTCTCTAGTGATCTGTGAGTTGACAGGCCAGCACGAGGGAGGATCGAGGACACGCAGAGAACAGCCAGCCACACGCAAGGCGGCTAAAATAGCATGGGATACTTTCGGGAGTTTATGAGGGCAGTGTGTCTGAAGCCTAAGGGCAAGTGTGTGAGTGTGTGAGTGTGTGTGTGTGTGTGAGTGTGTGTACACAGAATTCAGTGGAAGAGATGCTCTGCACATCAAGATGGGTCTTACAGGCTAGGTTAAAAAATGCGCATTTTCAGGCAATGGAGTGTTGAAGGACCTATTTTAGCAAGATCCCTCTGGCAATAATATGCAAGGTAGACTGGAGGCGGATAATGGCAGGGGTGTGGGGATCACACAGGAGGGCAGTGCGGGGTTTTAAAGAGAAAGAACGACGGTCTCTCCATGTGGCTTTGGAAGAGGAAGGAGGACAGGCAGAGCAGACAGCTCACATCTTGAAGAGCCCTGACTTGATTCAGGCTCTTGGGGTGAAGTCAGCACAATGCAATTCTAATCCACTGTTTCCCTTTCATCCCAGTTCTGACGCTGGCTTCATTCACACGCAGTCCTTTCCCCACATCTACGTGGAGCGAGGCAACTCTCATAGTCCTTCACGCCGCCAAGTCTGCCCAAGACCTCCGAGCCCAGCCACAAACTCGAGTCCCAATGACACCCTCGTTTGTGACCCGTTGGCTTCAAATGCAGGCGTTCCTTCTACTCCCTCAGGATATTAGCCAACGACCAGGCATCACCAGGACTCCCTCACTTCTCACCGACTGGCTCCTGCTGCTACCTTGAGTTTGATAGTTCACCAGCCGGACTCGGTGCCTGCAAACAGTGTCCTGAGAGCCAAAGGACACAGGTGAAGAGATCGATGGATAAAGGTGAAGTCTGGGAGGGTGCCCAATGTGGAGAGTCTAGTCCCAGGTACATGCTCTCCTTCCCAACACTGACGTCTGTCACCAATCAGGAGCACCTCGGAGCTTCTGTGCCCAGAGAGCCTTTACCACAGCCTCATTATGTAGGGAAGATTGACTGACTCTCCGGAGCAAGTTGCTATCACAAGGTGGGCCTTTTTGGCATGCTTAGCCTACCATGCCAGTCAGAGCTTCAAACTGGAATCCTTACAGATAACAGACACGGTAACCAGTGGGGGGAATTCCAAGGTTTTAGACGTAAGGTGACCTGATTTTAACATTGGTAAAGTGGGACAAAAGTGGGACACCATTGATAAAACTCAGATCCTGGTGAAATAGCCACATGGCAGCCGAAAACCATATACCCTAGCTTGTCATGTATTCTTTTAAAAAATCGGGACTTTTAAAAAATGCCATGGGACGTGGGAAAAACTGTTAAAAATCGGGATTGTCCCGCCAAAAGCGGGACGTCTGGTCATCTTATTTTAGAGGTAATCTTTCAGAACCAAGGACAAAGACCACAGTTTTTTGTTTTTTTTGCATAAAAAGCTCATTGTAAACACCACAGGTGCCTGCTCACCTCGACTCAACCATGTGTACCAAAGTCCTCCCTCAAAGTTAACCGGCTATTAATATAAACTAACCAGGACACTCCAATCCTACTGACCACAGCTGGTTTAGGGGTGGGCATATGATCTCATTCTGGCCAAAGAAAAATTCAGAGGAATCAGCTGAGAGCCATCAAAGAAAACTTTTGTTACTAAAAAAAAAAAAAAAATCCCACAGGGAGAGAGAGCTCTAGTTCATTTTATGTGCTGACTAACCTGGAGCAACCAGCTACTTGGTGATTGACCACAAGGCGCATCAATCCCAGGGCAAATTCAACAGAAAGAGAGTGGCCGACCCGAAAGGGAAACACAGACAGGTTCTTGATGCTAAGTCAGTGGATTCAATAACCCTAGAGCACCTCTAGCTCATAGCTAGGTGGCTTATACTTTGGAAAGAATCTCCAGAGGTGGGGCTTTTCTGTTATTTGTGGTAAAGAACATTCTAATGGACCCTGCAACCCATTTAAGGGCTTTTAGGAAATTAGGTGCATGGGTTTAAACTCGTGCGCAGGTCCCTGCCTCAGGTAACTGGATGCAGGACAATACCACTCGCAGAGATGGGGACAAAATGAGGAGAATAGAGGACAAGGGGTGCGTGCTGGGCTGCTAACCTGCCTGTGGTTGGCCCCGCCAGCTCCTCCACAGGGGAAAGGTCAGGCAGCCCTGAGACCCGACGGCCCAGTGCTGTTTGTCTGACAGTTGCTGGGTCAGAGTCAACTGGCTGGCAGTGAGCTTTATGTGAGTGCTGGTAGGGTTCTGTCACTTACACTGTCTAGTCGGCAAAAGAATGAGTGTATTCACCAGCAATTCCATACAGCCGGTGATTGTGACAATGAGTTTTGGTGGTGAAATGGTTAAACACTTGGCCGCTGAAGGAAAGGTTGGCAGTTCAAATTCACCAGTGGGTCTGTGGAAGCCAAGGTCGATGTCTCGTTATCTGGCCTAGAAAGCCCTCTGGGCAGTTCTACTCTGTCCACTAAGTTCACTATCAGTCAGAAAGGACTCCTCCACAGCACCACCAACAGTAACTGCAACAAAGGACGGTAATGAGCACATGTCTGTTAAGGAGCCCTGGTGGCACAGTGGTTCATGAGTTGGGATGCTAGCCGTCAGGTCGGCAGTTTGAACCCACTAGTTAGCTCCAAAGGAGAACTATGTGGCTTTCTACTCCTATAAAGACTTGCAGTCTCAGAACTCCACAGAGGAAGTTCTACTCGGCCTTACAGACTTGCTATGAGTCGGCATCCACTCGATGGCAGTGAGAGAGGAAAAAGAGGAAATCCACTGGAGGGCTGTGAGCTTGGGACTGCTTCCCCAGGAGAACGTCTGGGAGAAACATTCTTCGTTCCGGGAGGGAAAGCTGACCAACACACCTCTGTGCAGTGACCCACCTACCAGTGGTGATAGTGATTGGCTATGGTGCTAAACAGGCTTCAGTGGAGCTTCCAGACTAACGTAGATTAGGAAGAAAGGTCTGGTAATCTACTTCTACGCGTCAACAGTGAAAACACTGTTCTGACGGCCCATGAGCAGGCAGGGTTCTGTGCAGTTGACGGCTGAAAACCTCAACGTGGCCTAACGCAAATCAGAACTGATCCTTTAGGGGAGAAAAATATCGCATAATCAGCAGTTAGAAACATATGCCCGTAAGTTATTATTGGATCCAAGTTGTTTTCTTTAAAAATAGCCATCTTTGAAATGCAATTTGAACAGTAGGTGACATAATTTTTAAGGCTATAATTAGCAAGGAGAAACAAATACTACAAATTCCCAAAGAGTTAAAGAGTATCTACTTACCTTTGCGTAAGTTTTTCCACCTTTTAGTTCCTGTCAAAGACAATAAACACTATTAGGATATTGTATGATGAGAGATTCAATGTATGTCAAGTAATTCTAAAGCACGTATTTGCATGCTGGCAAATAGCCCCCCACTGCCACCAAGTCCTTGGCACAGAGCAGAACCGTTCCTCGGGGTTTCTGAGAGTGTTAGTCTTTAGGACAGTCGACAGCCTCAACCCTCTCCCACTGACCTTGTAGTTAGCAGGCCAATGCTTAACCCACTGTGCTACCAGGGATCCTTTGGAAAAGACTATAGATGGAAAAATTCTATCAGAGGGGAACTACCCCTTTGGGTTTCTGAGGCTGTATCAGGCGTCCTCAAACTACGGCCCGCCAAGGACATTTATCCGGCCCGCCGGGTGTTTTTGCCCATTTTGTTTTTCTACTTCAAAATAAGATGTGCAGTGTGCATAGGAATTTGTTCATAGTTGTTTTTTTAAACTATAGTCCAGCCCTCCAACAGGTCTGAGGGACAGTGAACTGGCCCCCTGTTTAAAAAGTTTGAGGACCTCTGCGAGCGTAAGTCTTTGTAGCCAGCCTCATCTTTCTCCCTTGGAGCAGCTGGTACGTTTGCGCAGCCAGGAGCCCAATATGTAAACTACTACACACTCGGGCTCCTTTATAGACCTTCTAAGTCTCTCCAAATGACCATAATTGTCATCTATCATTTAATTTTAATCTCAAGGAGAAAAATGGTAAGAATAAAAGCCAATATTTAATCTATTTGCTGAAGAAAAGAGTTCCCCTCAAAGGGTCCGGGCTCATTTACAAGAACCTGAAATCATCAGGCCGGAGGACTAAGGTGAGAACCACTCACCCTCAACTCTTTCCCCTTGCTCCCCACATCCCATCCTGGGGCAGGGTGTCTATGTCCAAATACGAGGGCCTTTAAAAGGTGTGTGGAAAAGTTCCAATATCTTTTAGTTCTGTTTTTTCCACAAGGTCTTGAAATCCACTCTGATCGCCTGAATCTTACAAGCTGGACTGTGATAACTCTATGCCAAGCATAAGTCTATCTCACTTGAAGTACTGGAGCCACTGAGTGGTCTCTCTGCAGTTTATCTAAAGGCTAAGTATATGTAAATATCATCTTTGTATGTATTTATGCTCTTTTATGTATTCATGCTCTATTTTAACTGGGTAGCTTAATTAACAAGGAAATTAAAAATACAGACCCACACACATTCTCTCAGAACTATCAGTTCATTCAAAAGGCAGAATAAGAATGCTAAAAACAGCTCTATTTCCCCCTCTTTTATATGGTACAGAAGAGTACAGGGTGAGAATGGAAAATAGCAGGGCAAGAGTCTAATGCTTTTCACTCTCCAGCTTCTATATTTAATTTTCAACCACGTTCTGTATTACTTTGATGATTTTAAGAATATCTATTTGGAAGGGTTACAATATGACCCTTGCCATTTAATTCACCAGTAGTGGTGACCCAATGAGTCTTCTGAACTTGAGAAGTTCACACCCTCCCACACGTGTTGGGCTGGACCTCATGAGATTGCTCGGTCTTTGTCGACTGTTGGCAGTTGGCCTCAACCTGATCTGTAGAAAGGAAAGCCTATGAAAGAAGAGGGACTTAAAAGCGGGAAGAACTGGGTTTGGATCCCTACTTTGCCATTTATGGGCTGTGCGAATGTGGGCAAGCAACTTAATCTCTCTGAGCCCTGGCTTTCCTGAAAATAAAGAAAAATGATACCTAATTTCAAATTTGCTGGAAGTAAAACGTGTGGGCGTTCACCACAATGCCTCCGAACCAGGCAAAAGAACCCAATGACTGGTCGGTCGCGGCAGCAATGGCCCCCAGACGAGGCTCAATAGGGTTAGCAGTCATCTACACGGTGATCCTGAGATGCCACGTCGACATAAGTAAACAAGTAAATGCTTTCATTTATAATTTCAAATTCACAGCCATTTAAACGACTGGTGTCAGTGGGGAGCGCAATCACACACATCAACCGTCCCGAGGAAAAGAAGAAGCAGAGCTACAGGAAGCGAGTCGGACGACGCACGAGTGAAGGGGAGACGGCCGCTTTTATACCTTCCTCACGGACACCCGGTAGACACAAGGATCGAGGATGCCCGTGGCGGCGCTGGCACTCATCTTGCACATAAAGGAAAACTTCTTCCTCCAGCGAACGCAGTTGGCGTGCACCACCTCCCTGAAGGCAGAAAGGAGAGCACCCGGTCGATAATGCAAAAGTGACCTTTGCAAACAGTGACACAGGAAGGAGACAGATTCCAAACCATGCGATTTGAAAATCTTTGGAGGGTGGCAATTGGTCAGAGGAAACGAGGTGGTGGGGGAGTAAATTTACTTATGAATTCGATCAATATGGACGGAGGCTTCACTATTCATTGAACAAACAATACCTGCTCACGATCTGTGTGCTGGGGAACCTCTAGGTATTTTAAAACAGAGACCAGAGTTCCTAACCTTACAAGGCTTATATGTACGGTTTGTGCAAAAGACAAAAAAGCGAAAACTTATTCTAAGTGGAAGTATTATCACAGTTTTAATAATAACATCATGTTTGAAATAAAAGAAGAAGCCACTGAAGAAGCTGTTAGTAGCAGACTAGGGGTAGAGCGGGTGCCCCTCCCAGGCCTGCACAAGGCCCCCTGCAGACTTTTAACTGCGCAGCTCCAATTCAGCCCCTTTCGCAGCCCCCCAGCCAGGTGGGCATGATGCAGCCAATGGGGTTGACCAACCATCAGCCACACCTCCATAGCCAGAGGTAAATACCTTAGCAGTGGGACAGCTGCCCTTCTGCCCTTGACCCTGTTCCTGTGCCCGCAGGGCCTGGCCTCAGGTCACCACGTGTGAGTGAGCAGTGCCCCGAGGTTGCCCGTGTTCACTCGTGGGCCCCACCGCGGCTTCTGCGCAGTTTGGCACACTTCCCTGAAATAGGTGTACTCTTTTGAGACCGTCAAACAGGAAACTTCTTCCGTCCTTTATAAAAACCCACTTGGATCACAAACCAGGCTTCTGCGTGAATTCTTTCTAATGTGAAGCCGAGAACCAAGGTATTATCCACCCGAGAAACCTAACAAAGCTACCATTTATTTGCGGATCAAGGTAGCCAGGTGCAGAACTTGCATTTAAGCCCGGTAATTTCAAGCCAAAGAGCCCATTTGGCTGTAAAGGAAAATCTATGTATTTCAGGGACAACTTGCCTCGGGCTAGGTTCCAGGCCTTTGCAGTTGCCATTATACCCACTCTTCTGTGTAAATAGAGGGGTCTCTCTCTCTCTTTGGCTGTTAGGGCTTTCTCCACCAATATCCAGAAGTCAACGATGAGGAATTGCAAAAGCAAACGCACAGCTCATTGAAAAAAGCAAGCATGTGATTATGTGGCATGTGCATGTGCATTTACTTGCTGACTTAAAAGCCAGTGGTTCTCAACCTTCCTGATGCTGTGACCCTTTAATACAGTTCCTCATGTGGTGGTGACCCCCAACCATCAAGTTATTTTCGTTGCTACTTCATAACTATAATTTTGCTACTGTTATGAATCATAATGTCAATATCTGATATGCAGGATGTATTTTCACTGTTACAAATTTAACATAATTAAAGCATAGTGATTCATCACAAAACAATATGTAATTATATATTGTGAAATATTTATTTCTAATGACAAATCAATGAAATTTTGTCTTGTAGCATGGTGTAGCATGGGTAACAGTCTTCACGCCGGGCACTCGTATGTGGGCGCATCTGCATGTGGGCGGACCCTCATGGAAACAGAGGAGCAGTGTCTCCGTTCCTAAGACCATCGGATATATGTCTTTTCCAACTGTCTTAGGTGACCCCTGTGAAAGGGTCGTTCGACCCCCAAAGGGGGAAGAAAACCATAAAGTTACACTTTCTCATTGCTGCCTCCCTCCCAACATTTCTTGACCTGCAGGATGAAGAACTCCGAGTTTCAGGGATCCTGGGTCTCCTTGTCGCTGCGGCCAGATCTGATTGATAATCAGCAATCAAGACATCAACAAAAAGTAAGTTTTTAAGTTGTCATTTTACTTTTCTTACAAAAGTATATGAAAGCTTTTAGTAAAAGATGGCAAGTTGAATACTTAAGTGTTCCCCCTCCAAAACAAAACACAAAAGAGAGAGAGAGACTCAAGAGAGGTGACAAAAATAAGTGGTCAGGAAAGGACAAGTGAATCCAAGAAAACGGAATCCTAACCTGTCACTGCTGACAGCCCAGAGCAGGAATCTCACACAGGGCTGGGATTCGGATGAAGGAGGGACACAGAGCAAAAGGATGGGCTGAACATGGCTCAGAGCCTGTCCTGAGCTTTATCGGCCCGGTCAGACTGCCCGACCCGAAGGCGGCAGCTCTTGGAAATGGCTGGACGGCATGCTGGTGGGGACTGCAGAGGGATGAAAGATGGCTGGCAGACTGAATGCTGAGATAACTCTTTTCTTCCCCTAAACCAGCTCTTGAGAATGCTGAGCAGCACGTATGTTCTTCAAAAAGATGTGGTACGACTTTTTTCTGGGAAAGCTAACCAGCCCAAGAGGAAAGGTCTAAGAATACAGATGTTGAAGAGTTCTCAACAGAACAGCCAGCCAGCCCAACCCACAGTAAAATCCCAAGTTGCCAAACACCCTCCACACGCGTAAAGATTCTAATCAACTTCCAGGGCTTCCATTTGAATCAGAGCTGACCTGTGAAGAAAGCCTCTTAAAATGCAAGGTTAGGAGGGCAACTTAGCAGAAACAGAGACGAGTTTAGAATAAGAAAAAAAATATATCTCTAGGGAGCACAAAAAGAAATTACACTCACCATACAGGGATAGATTTAAAAAAAAAAATCCAACTCATTGCCACTGAATCGATTCTGATTCATAGTGACCTTATAGGACACAGTAGAATTGTCCCTGTGGGTTTCTGAGACTAAATCTTTCTGGGAGTAAAAAGCCGCATGTTTCTCCCATGGAGTGGCTGGCAGTTCTCGACTACTGACCTTGCAGTTAGCAGCCCAATGTGAAATCACCATGCCACCAGGGCTTGCGTCATTTAGGAAAAGGAAGCTAAAAGAAGCCCAGACAAAGACGTCCAAAGTACTTGGACATCAGAATGACTGGGCGAGTCACTCTGTGACTCACGCCAGGTCCACTCGGCCCCTCTCCCTGGCCTGTGTGGCCAACCTTTCCGAGCTCCAGAGCCGGTGTGCTTGCCCCGACTTCTGCATGTGTTAAAGGGCATGCCCTGGAAGGATGCTACATGGCACAAGGAGAAAAGGGGTACATGCCTTTTCCTGTATCCTCCCTGTCAGACCATAGGGGAAGGGGCTGGGAGGCCTGCAGTTTCCTTGTAGAACCATTAGACTCTAAACCCTGGGCATTTATAACTCGGTTAAAATGAAAGCCAAATCAACACATTTTAAAAACACTCTAAAAAATGAAGGAGTCCTTGGGTGGCCTAAGCGCTAAGACCCTGGCTACCACAGGAAAAAGCGGCAGCTCAAGTCTACCCAGAGGCACGGTGTAGGAGAGGCCTGGCAATCTACTTCTGAGAAATCATCCACTCTACGGAGCACAGCTTTACTCTGACACCCGCGGGCTCTCACGAAGTCAGAACTGACTTGTGACAACTGGTTTCTTGGCCAAGAATGATAGGATCTGAAAATGAGAATAAAATTATCTTAACGGCGCATGCCATTGTATTCTAATGGCTTTATGTAAAAAACCCTAAGAATCTTCCTTATCGGTTGCCACAATTAATAGCAAAATTCATCTTACAATGTTACTCAGCCAATTATACCAGGAATCATGTTAAGTATACAACTCCCTTAATCATGCCCAAGGCAAAGTCCTAAAATTATGTTCGCTCTCTTTTCCTTTGTTCACAACACACAATAAATCATGTTCAATACTAACTGGGGACATGCAGCTTAGATTTATCTCTAGCTTAAAAGACCTTTATAACGTAGCAGCCGTTACACCCCTATACATAGCAGCCTTTACAACAGAGAGTATATGCTTTCTGTTGCACAAACTGCAGGCCGCTTTGGCCAGAGTAAGAGAATGAAAAGAAATCAAGAGAATACAGTGTGTGAGCATTTCCCTGACAACACCAAGTGAACAGGAAAGGAGTATTTACAGAAACACTGACCTGCAGGAGTCAGTGCTAAGGATGCTACGTTTGAGAAGAGAGAGGAGATGACGACAACCATAGAGTATATCACGGTGAAGAAAAAGTTTTCACAAAGAACATCTTAAAGGGGAAAACTATCTTCCAGGCCCCATGTTTCCCTCTAGTTACTACCTCATCTCTCGCCTTCAGGTCCAAGTTCCTAGAGGAGGAAATGGTGATGGATTGAATTATGTCTTCTCCACACATTGAAATTCTGAGCCGCACTCTTACAATAGGAGCCCTGGAGATGCAGTGCGGTAAGCACCGGGCTGCCAACGTCAAAAGTGGGTGGCTCAGCCCACCGGTCATGTTGGAGAAAGATGAGGCTGTTCCATTTGGTCCCACAAAAGATTTAGAGCCTTGGGGACCCTCAGCAGCGGTCCTGTTCTATCCCACAGGGTCACTATGCGTCGGGATCAACTCCATGGAAGTGGCTTTGTTTTAGAACTGTTGTAAGAAGTTTTCTTTGAAATAGTTTTTCTTTATTACGTTAACCAGGCCATACTCCAGTAGGGTGGGTTCAGAATTGAATCACTTATAAACAGAGACACACAGGCAAGGAAAGATCGAAGATATGTGAGGATCGGATCCAAGCAAAGGCCAGACGATACCAGGAGAGAGGCTCACAGAAGGAATCAATGTGGCTTAGGCCCCGATTTGGACTTTTAGCCCCTAGAATGGTAAGAAAAAAAACCTATTCTTTAAAGCCACCCACTGAAGGTATTTCTATAATGGCAGCACTAGGTAATGAAGACATTACAGTTGATGAGAAAAAAGATGACAAGCTTCACTGGCTGTTTATGCCTGTGGACATGGCTAGGAAGAGGCTGTGCTAACTGGAAGAACTGTCCTGAGTATTTCGGATCCTGAATTTTAACCTGTGAACCTCATTAACATACCCCACAATCCTGTATTGTCTATGAGATCTGTGTGGGCACAGCAATGAATTACTGAACTCAGCAGAGAAGCGCTGGTCGCGTCAAAGAGATGAAGAAAGTTGAAGGGTGGAGACATGACTGACGTCATCTGAACTCCCAGGACTCTGCCGTGGGCCAAAGGAGTTTTGCTCTTCTTCCTCCTTGGGAAGACAGAGGTCAGATACCGCCCCACATCGTTTTTTTACAAAGAGCTTCAAAGCATTTGTGGGGAAATTCCATTCTCTCTCAATTCCATTTTCCACAAGCTTTTAGAAGCTCTCTACTGTTTTTTAAATACTTGTGTCCTTTTCTACTTCTGTGGACAATTTATGTTCCTCTCTCCTTAAAATGACCTACTTTGGCTTCTTTTCATTTTACTCTCATGGCTTTAAATATTATATAAATTTAAAAGTCATCAGAATGTGTGTATGTGTACACACACACACACACACACACACACACACACACACACACGACTTTTAAATCAGTCCTCAGATTCAAATATTCACAGATGAAATGAGATCTCCTAGCCTGCAGGTAGGTAAGTCTTTGGGCCCCTGACATCCATCTATCCTGGTACCCACCAGCATGCTGTTACACTAGCAGCTGGGTGTTCAGGACTGCCAGCAGCTTATGCAATGTCCAGTTTCCCTTCTTTAGTCAATACAGAACCTGTTAGGTAGCTGGATAGGGTGTTGTCCCTCTACATGCCAAAGCCTCCCTCCCCCATTTATAGGAAGTTGGAAGCTGATGAAGGCTACAGGGAATGCATGAACTCGGGTCTTTGAGACAGTAAGCCAGTACACCTGGGTGGGCCCCAATCGAGGCCAGGTGGGCCCCAATCGAGGCCAGGTGACCTTTTTAGTGTACTGAAAGGTCAGGATGGTACTTTGAGGCCTAAGATGTGTTTCTGACCCAAGCCATGATATTTCCAGTTGCCTCATATGGGTGTGAAAGTTGGATACTGAAAAAGGATCAAGGAAGAATTGATACATGTGAGTTGTTTAGCTAGGAAGGATACTGAAAGTACTATGGGCTGCTAAAAGGACAAACTGATCTGTCTTGGAAGGACTATAAGGTCAGAGTGCTTCTTAGAGGCAAGGATGGCGAGATTTGTCTTAGCTACTTTGGACATGTTGTCCGAGACAGCAGCTCCTAGAGAACATCATTGGTAAAGTAGAGGGACAGTGAAGAAGTGCAAGGCCCTACAGGCAAGGAGATGGATTGACACTGGCTGCAGAAATGGGCTCATAGGACAATTCTGAGGGTGGGATAGGACTGGACAGGGTTTCCTTCTATTGTGCATAACGCTGCTATGGGTCAGGACGGACGTGATGGCACCTAACAACAAAAACAGCCACATGTTCACCTGCTATTCACATTGTGGTAGATGCTCCAGGAATTCCAGAGTTCTAGCTTCCCTTAAGATGAATCTTTCGGAACCCTCTACACATCTATTTCATGACCTGCATAGCCATGCCCGGTGAAGTGGTAGAAAAGGTCGGGTCAGCTCCCTGGAGGTTTAAGAAAACACAATTACCGTATCCAGACATGTAAATTCTGCCTCCCAAGTAGCAGATTGGCATGTGTGCTAAGACAATACAACAGGCTCTTACATGAGAACAAACCAAACCCAAACCCAATCCATTGCCATTGATTCAATTCTGACGCTGAGTAACCCTACGCATAAGGTTTCTGACGCTGTGAATTGTTACCGGGGCAGACAGTCCCATCTTTCTGCCATGACCCACAGACCACGTGGTCAGCAGTCCAAACACTTAGCAGAGAGCACTAACAGGGCTCCTTATAGGGAAAGTTGAAGGTCTACACAGCCAAGACATCTGGTTAGGATGAATCAGCGCTCCAAAAATTGCAGTTGTCTAATGAATGATATCAAGATGCATACGTGATCTTTATCTGGAGGAAAATCCTGGAAATGATGGAGGTAGAAAAGCAGAGTCCAGTGCAATATTCTGCACTGCCCACACTGTAGTGGCCAAACAAAACTCACTACCATCTAGTTGATTCTGACTTAGAGTGACCCGATGGAACTGTGGTGATTATATAATTGTTTGTCAATTTGAGTGGATTAAGAGTAAAGGGGTGGAATCTAGCCTGTCAATCAGGTCATAGCCAATGAGGCCTCTGTGTGGGCCTGGCCTTCTCCTGAGGATTCTGGGAACTCCTGTATTTCCTCCTTGGAGGCGGGAGACACGCTCTCTCACTCCCTCTCTACTGACAAGGCATATGGGGCCATGCTGATGGCAGCGAGAGTTCTGGACCTGGAGGGGCCACATGGAGACCCACACCAGCGCTGAGATGCTTCCACCATCACTGGATTCACAAGACTATCCTCCCACTGGCCTGTGATCTTCCTGCATTCAGCATCATTGCATGTGTTTCCTGGGTCTGAAGAGGAATTTATAGATTGGTATCGGACATATGGGCTAATGTCGGACTTATGGACTTGAGCTGGACTGGGCTGGGCTGTTTTCTCACTATTCCACTACTCTTGTATATAAAGCTCTTTCTTATACACATGTGAGTTCCCATGGATTTGTTTCTCTAGTCTGCCCGGACTGACACAAGAACAAAGGAAAACTGCTGCTGTGGATTTCTGAGACTAACTCTTGACAGGAGTAGGAAGCCTCATCTTTCTGCTGCAGAGGTGGCTGGGGGTTCCAAACAGATGACCTTGCAGCTAGCAGCCCAATGCATAACCCACTATGTCACCAGGGCTCCTGGTCAACTCCATAAATGATGTCCAGCCCGAGCCATGCTACTAGTGAGCGACTTCTACAATACAAATCTGAGATGTCATTACTCTGTTTAAAATTCATCACCACTTCCCCATATCTCACAGGCTAAGGTCCAGCCCAGCCTAAATTTTTAGAAGCTTACATTGTTGACTTTACTTTTTCTTAACAGAAATGTAAGGGGAAAGAGATGTGTTGACTTCAAATAATCATGTTAGTGTTGTAACATCAAAATAAAAGCCCTGGAGGGTTAAAATGATTTCTCCGTTTTCTGAGTGTGTGTGCCTAAGGCAATGACTCAGAATTTTTTGGTGATAATTTTAAATGTGAACACACACACACACGCTGTAGGAAAGCTGTCCAAGCCAAACAAACAGAAAGTG